ATTAAAACTGGATCTGGACTTAATGGGCTGCTTTCTGCCTACAGGGCCAGCTAATTAGTCTTAATTATCTCATTATAGATTCTAAGTATTTCCAGCTGCTTCTTTACCCCTTATTGCCCACTCCCACCCCCCGCCCCCCACGTCTATTTTCCAGACTGTCTTTGCCAAGTCATGGACACGGGTGATAGATGGGTGTATTCTTCCTATCTATCAGAACATTAGCTGCTTCTGATCAAGCTTCTCCCTTGCTAAATCCTCCTGGGATATCTTTTGCGTTTCTTTATTCATCAAAAGAAATACGCTTTGGCCAATTATTAGACATAAGGACAAATTTTAAAAACTGCATTTGACTTTCACTGATCATGGAAATATAATATACCTATATAGGGCAAATAATAAACGTGAATCTATCTTTATTTGATAGAAGCTGGGAAAGTAACCCTTCTCCCTACTTCTCACTGTCTCCAAAGCCTCGAATCAATCATTCAGTCCAAATAGTTCAAACAAAAATGAAGAAGAAAAAGTTACATTTCCTAATCAATCGGACATGTGAAAGGTGGAAGTAACGACTTAGCAAAAGGAATGAGAACGTGTGGTCACAGGGCTACAGGGCCCATGACCGACTCTGGGCAAAACATCTAATCTCTGCACCTCACTTTTCCAACGGCCGGACAATGCAACGGTACCTGCTCGTGTGGGCTGTCACGAGGATCGAACAGGGTAATGTATATAAAAGTGGTTTTAAAACTACAAATCTGTAAACAGATCTTAGTTATTATTACTAAAGAAAAGGAAAGTTTCCTCCTTCTGTGTATTTTTAACTTCTATCCTTACTAGCGATTTGTAGAATACTCTTCCTTTTTGATTCAAGTCATTTACTTGTTATTTAAAATTTCTGAAATTCCAGCTAGAGATATCTTTAGGTGTTAAGTACCCGTTATAAGCCACAAAGGTAGATGGATGCTATGTTACCCTCGTCCCTATAGAGAGAACTATCTCTTCATGTGTATAAACGCCATTTTAATATTAGCTTCCCTGGGATCATTAAAATATATGACTGCATCTGAGAGTCTGAGTATCTGAGGAAAGCTTTGCTCGCTCAGGTTCTATCATCACGATTCTCATCTTCAGAGTTTGAGATAAGGTGCACTCATAAAAGGTGCAAGGGAAAACAACTACTGGTGACATTGGACACTTCTAAATTTGTGGCTGATAACAACTGAATTTGTAACTAATAATACTAAGTTCTCCACAAAACAAAAAGCCTTGTTATAGCTTTTTTCCACACTTACTAGCCTCTCCGATATTTGTCAACTGAATTCACTTCCACTCGAATTAAACAAAACAGAAGGTTTTTATTTATTCCAGTATTTTATACTGAACGGCTCCCCGGAGGGTCTCCATTTACTGGCTTGGGTAATACTATCTTTCTTTTAGTTTATTAGATTGACGAAGTTAATTTAAAAAAAACCTAAGGAACTTTAAGTGATTCTTGGAAGGGCTACCATGCATACACGTATGGTCGGTCGCCCATTGTCTTCTGTAAGGTATCTCGTGAAGGGAATTTTTCCATTTCCATTTATAATTTCTTGGAATACAAAAAATACATCGCCAACGCGAAACGTCATTGTTCTGATGATGAAATGTTTTCAATTATGTTCTTTATTCAGCAGAACATTTTATCTAGTTTAGCCAAGGAGCAATTTGATAAAATAGTACAACTGTTTATTGCCAAAAAAAATCCCCATTTTCATCTGAAACACAACCTGGGGCACATAGCATCTAATTAAATTCACACAAAGCACAAATTGTTGAATCGAAACCAAAATGCATTTCAAAGTAAATATCAATTAATGTGACACCCAATTTCTAATCACTCCGATGTGCAAGGCTTATACACAAAACATTCAATTTATTTTGTAGGACTGAATTAGAATATGCTTTCTAGCAATCCAAGAATCACATCTAGTGCTTTGCTAGCAGCTTGGTTAGGTGTTTTTTTCTCTTTGATTCTTACAAAAAAATCATCGTTATAAAAAGTTCCTCCTTAAATTTTTCTTCATTTAGTTTGAGAAGGATGGACTCTTATTACCTGATATTTTTATTTCTTTCATTTAATACGTGGATGTCTGCTTCTTTTGGCAAAGAGAACTATCTCTTTTTTCCTTGTTTCCATGACAGTGAACACACAATAGAAAACTATAAAACCACATATACGGGAATACTGACAACGTTCTAGTCGACCCAGTTTGTGAGAAAAGGCTCGAATGATAAAACTGTTTTCAACAACACTCGACAAATGATCGTCTATAAAATAATAACACTTTGAATAGAGGCACCACAAGCGACTAATCTAGCACAAGAGTGGTCAAGTGTAGCAAGTCACTGGTGGAAGTCATCAGCCATTTCACCTGCTTTGTCTTGGAGAGGCCACCGGTCAAAGCTACGCCCAGAGAGAGCCTGGCAGGCAGACCTGACTCTGGGAGACATGAGGATGGCGTCTTGGTTACCGTCCACGTGAGTGCCACTCATTTGCCAAATATCTACCGAGTGCCTACGGCGAACAGATAATGGGGCTGGTGCTACAGAACATGACAAAGGCGAAGTCTGGGCGCCGAGGGAGCTCATCAGATTTGGGGCTCCCTCTGGTTCTCAAGGCAAAGACGCTCCAGTAACACACACCACGAACTGTCACTTGATGCTTATGACTGCCACCATTTTAAAAAGCGAAAAACACTGATAAATAAGAAAGAATCTCTTTCCAAACAACGTAAAAGTTCCATGAGTGGGGTAGCTATTGTTTTTAATTTTACCTATATCCAATTCTGTTTCTCACAAGATATCTAAAAAATGCTTGCAATGTAACAAACATTTATCTTAAAAAAAAAAAAACAACTAAAAAAAATCAATTTATAGAGGGGATGGGGGAGGGAGTAGGTGGGTGGGGTAAAAGGCGTCAAATATGTAGTGACATTAAAGAATTAAAATAAATAAGTAAATGAAATCAATTTGTACTTTATCTTGTTACAGGTTAAGTATTTCAAAGAACTCTAATCCTGGTGAAACCTAATAAAATCCTATGATTCAAACTCATACATTTTTACCTCGGTTTCTCATACCTGAGTTTACAGTGAGCCACGCAGAACAGAAGCCGCCTTGGCAGAGGCGATGCGCCGCGCAAGGCCCTTTGGGCACCGTCAGGCCCATCAGCCGTCAGCGCCGGAGAGCGTGACCGCGGTCCCGTGGTGTAAGCCACCGCAGACACACGCGCGTTCTTTTGTCTACGACGCCCATGTGAAAACAGACCCTGACCCCTTCCATTGCCAGGTCCTGAGGACGTGCGTGTCGGGGGCTAATTTCTAGGAAATCTCCTCCAGCTAGTTCTCTTTCGTTCTGGTCCCCCATTTCTGTCGCTCCGTCTGCCAGGATCATTCGAAGAGCAATTCTAAGGCTCCGGGAATAAATTCAGTCCAGACAAGGGCCCCGCGGCCTTCTTTAATGCTCGGACTACAGGGAAGGAGGAGGGCAAGCTCGCTGAGGGCAGGGTACAGTATGGCCAGGTCTCTGTAGTGCCCTCAGAGCTCAGCACAGTGTGCTCTCTAAATGATTTATTTCAGGACAATGACAAAGAACCTGGGCTGCTCTTCTTCTCTCCAAGGCAGCAGCCAAAACGTAATATAGGCCGGTGTGCAGTATGCAAAGCTGTCGCTCAGATCTACTTGCCTAAGGTAGCAGATGATTGGGTTTTGCACGCCTGGTTTACACTCTTCAAATATTTATAGACAGTTCTCTTTGCCTCGAGCCCTAGTTGTCACTTAGCCAAGTTATACATACATGGTTCTTTTAATCTTTCCTTCGAAATCAATCCTGCTAAGCTCTTTAATCATTCTAGTTGCATTTCCCTCAACTTTTAGCTGTTTGTCTTTATGCTAATTTTTTTCTGTTGAAATGCACAAAAATAATCCAAGAGTGGAGCAGAGAGGGGTTTGGTCATCTTTCCATTACAAGGTTCAATGCCTTTTATATGCAAAATAAAATTATTTATCCTCTTTCCTTTTGAAGGATCACATTTTAAAAATTCATATTTAAGTTGATGGATCAATCAATACATCACAAGAGAGAGGAAGAAAAAGGTATCATCAGTAGTATATTCTCTAAGGATGATATCGTCACTGACTAAACTCTCACGTGTCTACAAAATGATTAATTTAACCTGCGATATTCAATCATAAAGGAAAATGGAGACCCAGAGTAATGCGGGCACCACAGAGAGGTGTAAGTGCCTGTCTAAGGGGCTGTCTACCTGTGGAGATTCCTGGCCAACCTCGGCTTTTCAATTAAAAAAAATTCAAGTTTATTTTTCCCATTGCGTAAGTATGAAAGAAAAATTCAAACAATCAGAAACAAGGAAAGGTTACCTCTAGCCAAGTACCCAAAGACAATATTTAACATTTTTGAAGAATTTCATCTGAGTCTTTTTTTGATATATTGCCCCTTGCCTTTTCTACTATTATACCAGGAAATTTCATATCTTGCATTATTTTTAAATCGTAATTTTAATGACCACACACTATTCCATCAAGTGGGTGTGACTAATTTTACAATTCCCTATGTTGGACATCTATATTGTTTCTATTTTTTTCTCTATATTAAACATCATCACAAAGAAAATCTTTCTGTGTAAAGCTTTCCTGTCTTTAAGCTCATTCCTGGATTCGCGGCAGTAAAATTAATGTATTAAAAGATACCCGGAAAATAAATTTTAAGGTAAAGAATTAGTGCAAGTGCTATTTGAAGTGAAAAATACCACCTAAAGTAAAGATTTGTCTTTTGGCCCCGACGCTAACGAGTGAATGCTCAAATCTTAGAAAGTCGTAGAAAACTGCTGGAGTTGGCAAATTCCAATCAATTAAATGTGGTACTCACTAGAATTTCACTTCTTTATCCACACGAATGTACTGTCGATCCCTTATTAAGCAAGCTTAAGTTATTAACCTTACCTAGATCTACCATGAGCAGGCGAGTGAGGGCTGTGTAGAAGGTTGTTCGACACCTGAAGTCACTGAGACTGTACCTGTCACTGATGCCCAGGAAGGGGAAGTGTTCACTCTGATAAAAGCAAAAGAGCATCCACGGTTACTAATGTTTTATCTAAGTGACCCGGAACATTTTAGTCATTCATTAAAGCAAATGAGACTTACCGTGTGATTTTTTAGCATAAATTTCACGGCATCTATCTTCACGAGCTTTTTTAAAAGAATATAGGTAATAGAAGTTAAGGAATCTGGGGAAATAGAACTCTTATCAATAGGTAATAAATCACAAAATAACGCCGAACTATAATGGCATTAATTTCTATTTATGAAGAACAAATATTATTTCTAAAGAGTATTCCTATAGAAAAGTCCTTCATGCTATTAAGAACGATAATCCATTATTAACCAGTGCAATTACTTTTCCTAGCTTATACATGTTCTAGTTATGGAAGGAAAGAATGAATCTTATAATTAAGATAAAAACTTCTTTACTATTAAAGCCTTCATAGCGGAAGATTAAAACTGACCTTTTTTACATTTGGGGTGTAATGTGAGAACTTCTTTCCACTTAATATTATTGTATAATAAAATAATTATAAAAGATCCATAATAGGTTATCAAAAAAGAAAAATTTTCAATTCTAAGAGACAAGGAGCTCAGTTAGTAGAAATCTAGGAAAATTCTGCTTCAGATGAAGATCAGAACACAATGAGGGGGATGTGGCAGACTGCACGTCACGGTGTTAGAGGACAGGCTGAGAGGACCCAATAGAGGACCTAATATTTCTTAACTCCCTACTAGGTGCAAGACATATTTGTTAACTCACCTCATCTTGACAATTACACTGTTAAATAGTGTTTATGATTTCTAATTCATAGATAAGAAAACAAACACTCATTGAATTAAGTTGCTTGTCCCAGATGACACAGCTGTGGATTGACGGTGCAGAGCCTCGGAGTGGGGTCCGATTCCACTTTCTACTGCATCGCATTATGACCTGGGCACTTTGACTCAGAATGAGAATAACGTTGAGAAGTCATAAACGGGCTCACGTGGCCTAAATAATTTCTGGTTAATGCCGTCATCAAAGAAGGGCTGATGTGGGCTCTAAGAACATCTATTCGGTTTCTAAACACCCCTTTCTTTTACTTTACCCCCGTCGCGTGTTTTCTACTGCAGCCAGGGCCTCTCTTGGTCATCCCTGCATACTCGCTCATACTTCTCTTGCAGGCGATCATAGCCCTACATGGCGCCTTTCACGTTTCCAAAGAAAACGCTGGCTCTTTCCTTCACATCGTCTCCAAATACAGAACTCTGGGATTGCCTCTGTACGGGGGCACTGAGCAGTCTAGCTCTGAACTCTGGTCACTCAGGCGTGCATGTAAAGAGTAGA